ACATTATACTGACATTTACCATTGTCGAAAGCCCTGGGGCGAGACTGTTGTGAGCTAAAGTTATAAAACTTTTTTGAATGAAAGTGCAGACAGTCTTGATTTTAAAATAGTGCCGATGTGCTGATTTAAACATTGTCACATTCTGAGTGGTCTGAACTGTTTTGCCTTGACATTTCTTTGTCCATTTTTCCTTATGTAACCTATAAGAAATATATTTTAAACTCATTAATAAAACACAATTCCACATTTCTCCATACAAGTTGCTATGGATTGGAGAATAATTTTATAAAATTATCAATTATTAAAACCCCTAGATTGTTGGGGGGGGGTGTTTTACTTTTACATGACACAAGCAGGTACAGAAAATGGATGGATGTATGGATGGATGGATGGATAGATAGATGGATGGATGGATAGATGGATGGATAGATGGATAGATGGATGGATGGATAGATGACTATTTCATGGCGCAAAGGTATCAAAAGTGCAACTAAGACTGTTCAGCTGGATTGCAGAAACCCTTTTTTATCACCCTGCTTCCCTGTGAATCTCCATTTATTAATTTATTTCTTGGCTAACGGCCCCTTTGGACACGTGGCTGACTTGCGGTGTCAGACATGATGCCTGAATGATCGGCCATCAGTGGGCCACCCCTAAAGCTGGCTGAGCATGCCGGCGCCTCTACCCACTGGGGCAGCGGGACCCGGGGCCACAGGATGCGGGCCGGAGATGGCGCTCACGGCCTCCTCGGAGGCTGCCTCTGCCTCTTGACGTTTTGTTTCCTGGTGAGGAGTACGGAGCTTTAACAGCGCTCTGCTTAATCACTTCCCGGTCTGCAATGGCAACCTGTCAACATGAGATCTGTAAACGACGACAGCTAATTACAAGCTTCCGTCTTAACGCCTTTATTATGACCATGTTGCCGTGGTTTATAAATACTCTCCTCTTGCAGTGTCTGTATGTTAGCCCATCGCATGATGTATGTTAAGAGTCTAGAAGGACTCTTCATCCCATCATTTTACATCCACGCTCCTCTCTCTGCCGTCCGGTGCGCTCAGATCCGTCCGTGGTCCCACGGTTCTGTGTGGGCCACCCTCCCAGAAGTGGCCCGATGCTCTGACCCCTGTCACGACCACTTCTGGGTTTCTGCATTTATTCCAGCAACTTGTCAGGGGAAAAAAAGCTGGGAAACCATAGCAACCACCAATGCAAGCACCGGCGGTTTTTTAAACGGGACTCTCAAGGTCGGACCGTGACCTGGGAGGATCAGGGATGAGGTCCGAGCCCGCCGGGTCCCTGGATACGGGCTGGATGGTTCCCCTGACACACTGTGACCCTAGAGGCACCGTGATTGTGGTGCACATTCACCAGTGAACCCGGAGTGTTCCTAATCGTGCTGGGCTGGACCCTGCTGGAAATCCTCGGGGAATAAGGCACGCCATGGCACTTCTGATTGGCCGGACTCAGGAGCCTAATCGCAGGTCATAACGCCTGCTTTGGCGTCAGTGACTGGGAGGGTTTTTTTTTTGCATGGTGGCTGATGGGTAATTCTGTTACCTCATATCTCTGAGGGTTGGGGTGACCTTCCTGCTCTGGTATGTGAATTATTATTATTATTATTATTATTATTCACTTTACCATGTAGTGAGATATATATCTATATATCTATATATATATATATTTATTTTTTTTATATTATATGTTTTAACAGCTGTGGTGCTGCTAGTGGGGGCTGTCACCTGCTGTGCCCCCCCCCCCCTTACGTCAGCAGCAGCTGTGACTCATGTTGCAAAGGACTGATGCGACCCAGACTGTCAGCAGTGCGCTCATCCTCTGCTTGGCAAAAAAGACGTTACTGTCCTGTTCATACAGACCGTATGCCCCCCCCCCCCACTGTTGGTCTGTGAGCATGAGGCAGGACGAGACTCTGAGCAGGAGTGACGCGGCCCCCAGGGGCTGATCGCGCGGTTGCCGGGGTTTAGGTCTGCGTCTTAGTCCTCCTTTTTTTTCGCTGATGCTTAAAGTTTTAACAAGTCACTGTGGGGGGGGACTTTCTGGTCTTCTAACTTGAGCAGTACCTTCCCAAAAACAGGGAAAATATTTGAGCAAGATTAGTTATTTCTTGTTTATTTTATCTCCACGTAGGCGGCGGAGTTAAAAAACTTGCAGTATGAGAGTTTTCCTTTTAGAGGTAATAAATGTGCATAGGAGATCCTGAATGGCCCTTTTCTCCTCTCATTTTACAGGAATCGTCTTCTATCAGGAGTTCTATGGCTTAGCTATGCTCAATATATTTATGTTTCTTTTCGGGTGAGTGTGGCGTCATTCTGCCTTGATAGCTTGCGGGGGAAACTTGGCCCTTTTTAATACTGTCCAAACAGAAGAGACACTTTTTTCCCCCAAGGTGCCTGCTGTCGTTCGTTGGTGTCTTCCTGATTGCCAGGAATCGGCCGAAAATCAAGACGGACCGGCCATTCATCGACATGGGCCAAGTCCCCGGTGGGCATTTCCTGCAACGACACCCGTCGTCATGCTTCTTAAGCCAGAAATAAGCAGGAATTTGATTGGACATGATATCTCTCTATCCGACTCGGGGGGGGGGTGGCGGCAATTCTGTGTATTATTAGGTGGCTAAAAGTGAATCAGAAAACCGAGGGGAGAAACCGCTGCAGGTTCTCTTATGGCTGTCGGAGCGGCTCGGATGAGTTTACATTTATTTTAAGAAAGACCTACTGGAATATTTTTGCTCTGAATCCCCGCATCTGCCCGGGATCGTTAAGACAGACTACCGGTCCTGCAGATCCCTGCCATGCGAGTGCGGCTCTGCCGAAGTAATGCGAGGATGGGTCCGGTCACAGGAGCCGCGGGCGACATATGGGACCCGGGAGGGGGGGGGGTAAATGTCGTGTCCATAAGCGTTTAGAATTCATGAAACATAAAATATTCAAAACTAATAAATGAAGAAAAAAATTGCTTGTATGCGATGCATTTTGTCTTACGTTTGTCGTTTTTGTAGTAAACAGGCTGATAAGCATCTAATGCTTTTTTCTTATCTCCCCCCCCGTTCTCTCCAACGCAGGCAGGAGGTGCACAGACAAAGTGCAGCCAGAAAGCACTAACATCACCTACGGCTCGCTGACAGGAGACGCCATCCAGCTGCAGGCCAAGGGCGAGCAAACGGAGAGCTCTGTGTAGGTGCCACACCCCCTGCTGTACGGATGCGTTGCCTGCGCTGGGGGGACGCAGGCTGGTGGACGGTGCTGCCCCCCCCCCCCCAAAAAAGCTGCTGGTCTGGAATATTCCTACCCACCTTAGGACTGAAGAGACTCCTATTAAAACTTGACTGAAGGAGGAGTTTTACGACTTCAGGGGGGGAAAATCATTAGTGGAAAATGTTTCTTAAAAGAACTGTAAGGCTTTACTATCTTGCGCCTTTGATACGCGTTGATGCCGTGGTTACAGAACACCACCTTGGCCTGTGGGCTGCATTCTGAAAGAGGGTACGGCTGTTGTCCTGTTTGAATAGGTAATTAACTTGAACTGCTGTACAAACCCACAACACTTACTGTTGCTTGTATTAACTGCATAATATCAAAAAAAGCCATTGAGAATGTAGTAACAGGCAGCCAATAAATTTAATCCTCCCCACCTCTGAATCACCTCTTTCTAAAACATGCAACAAAACCAGGTGAGATATTAAAAACAGAGGTGAGGGGAGATTAATCTTCATGCACATATATAATGTGTCCAACTTCTTTGGGTTTAAACACTAATGAATTTTTTAAAGCAGCACCGCAAAGCCAAACAGCTGTGGGCCTGCCTGCCGTTAGCTGTGGGCCTGGCACCATCTGTGCTCATTTCTGTTCGCCGTTTGGATGCTTCGCCGTTTTGATTGGGAGCGTTGGGGATTCATGAAGACTTATAAAGTTTGCTGGACGAAATGCTGTCACCAAGATACAAAAGCATGCAGCTGGTGCGAGAGCCGGGTTTAAAGAAATCGGTTCCTTCTGCATAATTCCATTATGGGCGCGGGGAGGGTTGCCATGACACCCACCCGCACGTTCCTTGCCGGCTGGTGGAGGGTGCGACGGGAGGCCCTCATTCGCTCCCCGAAAGCTGTGATTGGAAAGCAGAACCCCCACCCCAATACTGTCAGGCTGAGTAAGGATCTTGGGAGAATACCTGAGTGAGGTAACAGCTGGTTCGGGGGTGGGGGGCCTGAGGATTGGGTGGATGTTCTTCAAAATAAAGGTATATATACAAACATAGCAGCACACTGAGGTGCAAGTGTCAAACACAGTATGTGAAATATAGATTTGTGTGTGTGGGTGCACAGGACACCTACAGTGGAACTAGTGTCTGGCCTGTAAACTTGGCTGTTCTTAACCTTGCCTGTCAGGCACCAGTAGGGAGTGGACTCTAAATTGCAGCCAGGACAAGAATCAGGGGCATATGAAAGTGACATCAGTTAATTCCAAAGTTCCTCCAAAATCATTCCGAGGCCTGGAAAGGAAAATTGTAAATTTGACCTTTTGGGCCCAGTTCCTCCCCCACCTGAAATCTGATCAGCTTAATTGCTAAACGCAGGGCCGTGGAAAAAAAAAATCGTTGGCCAAGCATAAATCCAGTGTAATTCTCTCAATTTCGAAAAGCAACAGTACCCCCTAGTGGCCAAAACAGTTTCCGTCATCTGCGCACGTTCTGTAGAATCAGAATCAGCTTTTATTCGCTAAGTGTGCTTGGGCACACAAGGAATTTGTTTATGGCAGCTTGAGACTGTCTCGTGCACAGACAATAAGCGACACTATACAAGAAATACAAATGTGAAAAATTATAAATATAAATATACACACATGGGTAACACTGTGCAATTTTAAGGTGCGAGGTACAGTAGAGTGCAAACAGGGGGGAAATTGGCATAAGGCAGGTGACAGCTTAGCTGTTTATGTGGGTGATGGCCTGAGGGAAGAAGCTGCCATGTCTGATGGAGGGCAGGGGGGCACCAATGATTTTTCCGCTGCAGTCTGTTCCTGTCCTGATTAGTGGCTGCTCCATACCAGACTGTGATGGAGGAGCAGAGGACAGACTCAGTGACTGCAGTGTAGAACTGGATCAGCAGCTCCTGTGTGAGACTGTACTTCCTCAGTTGTCTCAGGGAGTACATCCTCTGCTGGGCCTTTTTCAGGATGGAGGAGATGTTGGGTCTCCCATTTCAGGTTCTGGGAAATGGTGGAACTTGAAGAACGCCACAGTGGACAGCGGGCTGTCTGATATGGTGAGGGGGAGCAGTGTTGACGGATGTCTCCTGAAGTCCACTGTCATCTCTACAGTGTTGTGCGTGTTCAGCTCCAGGTTGTGCTGACTGCACCAGAGTACCAGCCGCTCAACTTCCTGCCGGTATGCAGACTCATCACCATCCTGAATGAGTCCAATGATGGTGGTGTCGTCTGCAAACTAGAAACAGGATCCTGGCATAAGTTCCTGGCCGGTCGAGATGTTGCAGGATATAATGCAGCCCCATATTCACTGCATCATCCACCGACCTGTTTGCCCGATAGGCAAACTGCAGTCGTTCAAAGGATTTCATGACCACAGACGTCAAGGCGACAGGTCTGTAGTCATTCACTCCTGTGATGGTGGGTTTCTTGGGGACTGGGATAATGGTGGAGCGTTTGAAGCAGGAGGGAACTTGCTGGTGACAAGCTCCAGGGATCTATTGAAGATGCGGGTGAAGATGGGAGCCAGCTGATCAGCACAGGTTTTGAGGCAGGAGGGGGATACATCGTCTGGTCCCGGGGCCTTCTTGGTTTTCTGTTTTTACCCATTTCCATTCAGTGCTAGTCAGGGATGTATTGAGCCAAAGCCTCTCCGAGGATAAGTAACCTATGCAAGTCTGGCAGGCAGTTCAACAGCCTTAAAAGCGATTAGTGATTAGCACATTCTTTTTTTACATAGAAGAAAAACCCTTATCTGAAATTAGACGCCCAAGATCATCTCTGACAGCTGATTGTAGGAGCAAGCCTGGGAATGGCATTATGATGACCTCATCACTGCCACATCTGTGCGTCTGCGTGTGTGTGGGTGGACAAGCCAGAAGCTCTGTAGCCGCACGAGTTTTCTGCAGAAAATCCGTGTGTGTGGAGGGGGGGGGGGGCTAGAAGAGGGAGCTGGCAACATAATCACTACAACCATGAGATTCGTGAAGGTAAACCATTGATATCGACCAGCTCGACCTTGGGGAAGCGAAACTAGGATACGCTGCTTTCATATCTGCCAAGGCTCTTTTCGGAGCAGTGCCTTTTCCCTGCAGCCAACATTCCGCGTCCAAACCACACTGCAGAACAAAACTGCCATTTAGAGACGAGCCGGTTTTATCTGATCCAGAAGAGCCGTTTGTTTTAAAACGTATAAAGCCACATTTCACAGATGCCAGGCCCCAGCCCCCCCCCCCTTAAGAACAACTAGCATGTGTCTCGCCTTAATGAACCAATTTAAACGTCCCAAGATACAGTGCTAGGGAGGAAGCATATGGACAGGAAGGTGTCTTAATTTCCTGGGTTGCTAAGCAACAGAATTCTCCTCACACACCTACACAAGTTTCTCCCGCCACAAAGCCCTATTAACAGGGATGACTGATGAAATTACTGGCCTTATAAAACTACCACAATATGCCAAAGGAAATCGATACTGGGGTGGGGAGGGGGGGGTGGTTCCAGCACCACCTTCATATTAAATATCAACATAGAATTCAGAGATGTAGTTTAAAGGTAAGAATCTGAAAAGAAAGTCTTCAGTTTGACTTGTGGTTGATTGGTATTTATTTAGAATAAACATTCCCTGGCCATAACACTGCACCAAATGTTCTTCGAAAAATAACATTTCTCTAAGGGTAGCATTTCAAAGCCCAATGATTTCTTTGCATTAGCAAAATTCACAGTAACTAAAATTACTTTTTGCAATCATACTGGCATATCCTACCAAAGTTGTCAATAACATATCGATAAGGCAAGAAGAGTAAAATGCAGAACGCAAGTGTTTCCGTAAACCATGCGTTTGTCTGTATGCTTTCAAGTACTTTGAGGCAGTGCAAATTTCCTAAGCAAATGTTATGGCTTGTTTACATCTTCCACGATACCAAGATCGCATCAGACCATCTGTCGTCGTCTCCAGAAGAAAATATGTGGTTCTCGCTGCTGATCTGCAGGCACAGACCCACCCACACACACACACACACGCCGAGCGCCTCCGAGCTCCGTCAGCCACCCGTGGACGACACCTCCTCTCCCCGGACGGCTGGAGGGTCCTGCCCGCACTCACGCCTCGATGGTGATCTTGGCAAAGCGGTACTGCAGCGAGGCTGGGTTACGGAGCAGCACCAGGCCGCGTAGGTCCTCAGGCTGCCCGACCAACATGTGAAGCAGGCCTGTCAGGCTGACGAAGCCTAGCGCTTCACCGCAACCTGCTGCGAGGGAGAAGTCCCCTTGCGTCGTCCACCCAAGGGTCACCCGCGAGCAGTGGGAGGTCACACTGGGCAGCGGGCTAGGCCACAGGCCCAGAGTGAGGCCAGGGGCGGAGCCAGTGTCCTGGTCCACAGCGAGACCAGGATTCTTTCCGAGCTTCTTTGAAGAGTTGCTGTCCATTTTTGCCTTCTTGCGACGTTTCATGCGACTCTTGAAGTGGTCGACGTGCTGGGGCTCCTGCGGGCCGCAGCAGGCCGGATCCCGGCGCAGCAGCACGAAGTCCTCCGCTACAGGCATGCAGATCGCGGCGTGGAGCGCGGGACGGCCCTTTCTCAGCAGCGACAGGCGCGCCCACACCAGGCTGCGGTGCTGCAGGGCCGAGAGAGACGCCGCAAACGGCTGGATCGGCCGCTCAGCCTGCCGTGGCCGGCCGGGCCTCCGTGACCTCTGACCCCTCGATGAGGTGGGCCTGCACCAAGCAGACAGCTGCTGCAGAGCCTTCCTGTCCCTTAAGTCGGCCAAAATAAATGATTAGTTTCACAAAGATTCTCATATCTCTGCTACGAATGACATTACCAGCAGCCCGCACCCATTAAAATAGAGCACGCTGGCTTGTCACCAGCAACCCCCCCTGCAAAAGGGGACGTGAGATTGTAGTGATGGGAACCGGGGGAGGGGGGGCAGGGGGCTGTCAGTCAGTGATGTGTAAGTGCAGGGGAGGCTCAGAGTGCCGGATAAAAGCAGACCCACCTCAGGACAGTAAATCCTCTTTCTAGCCGTAGGGCATCGTCTGCAGGAGATGTCAGGTCCTGCGGCTGCGGATCAGGGACCTCGGATGGCGGCAGCGAGGGGGCGCCGCCCCCCCCCTCCCCGGCGATCGTCTCCCACTCCTCGGCCAGCTGCTGCCAGGGGCAGAGGAACGGCGCCAGGCTGCCGTGCTTTATGAAATTGGGTCGCTTGGCGGGTGGGCGCCTGGACACGGGGACAAACACGGAGTCAAGCCCAGCAGCTCTGGGTAACTGGGCTGACTGGTACATAACTGGAGAATAGATACCATTCCATACCATTTATAGCAAAAAAAAAAACACACACGTACAAGACAAAAATGTACTGGTAATTCATACTAAAGAAGATATTAAGTTATATTATATAAATACAAAATATTTTAATGTACTGTATGTCACCTTTTTGCATTAGTGCTTCAGTGAACTATGCATCATTTTTTTGTCTGAGTCCGGAGCTGGTTGTAAAGCACAGAAAAAGCGGGAGATCAAAGA